CTTTCCCTAAGACAAGACCAGTCTGGGTGTGGGGATCCTAAAGTATGAACACATATTTATGGGTACAAAAGCAGCAGTAGATGCTACACTCCTGGGAAGGACCAGACAGGTTGTGTTTGCACAGATCAGTGGTTGACCGTGGGTTTCATAGGCTAGATGCATGTGAGAGGTGTACTTACCTCCTGAGACATGCTCTCGTTCTTCCTGGGAATCCTGGGTGTGGTTGTAGGATCCTAAGTTATACACAGCCGGGTACCTGTGTGACACTATCCCACTTTTTCTGCTTCCCTGTTCCACTTTGTAGCCCAGATTTGAGTCCCTTGCACCTTCCTGCCCACTGCTAATCGGTGGGAGAGGAAGTGGGGTGAGCTCAGCTTCCTTTGCTGTCCTCTTTGTGGTTGCCTGTTGCCTTGGCAATTGAGATTGTGGACAGGACCAGTGAGTCCTGACTGTAGAGTCATGGCTTTTTTGATGGTAGTTGGATTATTTGAGAACCCAGCTGGTGGGAGGCCCCTGAGGTTTCACCCAGAAAGAGTCTTGCAGGGCTGGGATGACTGTGTGAGAATGGGCTCATTGCATGGGCATCCACCACGCAGAGTAGGGATGATCCCTGATGAAGCCACATGGACTGACAGTTGTGCCATGTCTCTCTCTTCTCCTCTCATACCTACTGGTTGCTCAGAGCCCACCGGCACTGAGATTTTCCATTTGTTCCTCATTGGGAAATTGAAAGCTGTTGCTGTGATCCACAAGCTCTTCTGCTCCTTATTGCATGGCCTGATAGAGCCCACAGAGAGGTCAAAATTCCTCAATGCATCATTATCTCTCTGCAGGCTACTACAAGAACAACATCAAGGTGGCTGTGAAGACCATGAAAGAGGGCAGCATGGATCCTGATGCCTTCTTGGCAGAGGCAAACTTGATGAAGAGGCTCCAGCATAACAAACTGGTCCGGCTGTATGCAGTGGTCACAAAGCAGCCTATCTACATTGTGACAGAGTACATGGCCAATGGTAAAGAGCCTCACTGACTTATTTGTTGGGTTTCTGCAAAATCACATCAATGATCTGGCTGGTACTCCCATCATGATGGGGATGAGGAGGAGGGCATTGTACCAAATCCGTAAGCAGAAGGACTAAGTGATCCACAAGTTTGTTTCCAGTACTGGAAGGGACTTTCTGGGTGATGAAATCTTGCTTCTCATGGACTCGTATTTCATAAACTACTTCACAAGATGGTGATGTTATATTTGGAGAATATTTAAAGCTTGCATCTCCACTGTTCCTACTGGAAGTTTGTTTCAGATTTTTACTCCCCTCACAATGAAATTGTCCTTTCCTTTGTCCCTTTTTTCTATAAGGCTTTGAGTGAAGAATGACCAGCACCTTGCAAAAGGTCTGTGCAAAATAGAGGGGGAAAATGGGCTGCATTTGGGAACTGTCCTAATGGAAGATGCTCCAGCAGACACTGGAGGTTCCTCAGATTTTCTCTAGGCAGATTTCTTGTATATATTCAGAGAAGCACCAGGAGGAAGCAAATGCATAGGCTTATTCAGAAGAGTCACAGCAGTCTTTCCTTTTTTGCAGGGTGTTTGCTGGATTACCTGAAGACAGAAGAAGGAAGCCAACTGAATCTCCCAAAACTCATTGACATGTCTGCTCAGGTTAGCAAACAGCCTCTGGGACACAGGCTCAAGACCATGATTTGTTATTGCCTCAGTGAAATTCTTGCAAGCCTGAAGTCTGTCAGAGCATGTATTCATGGAGAAAAACAGCACCTCCTGGTGTGCTCTCTTAGGGTTTCTCTCTCAGCCTTCTTGTGTTGATGTGCATGTCAGCTCAGCAATGCTCTGCTGTCTTTAGGGCAGCCTCTGGGGAAACTAGTGCAGTGCTAGAGAACTGGGGGTTGTTTTTTGGTGCTTGGGTTTGTTTTCTTTTGTTTTGTTTTTCTGGCTTGCTGAGCAGGAAATATGTCTTTTTCTGGTTTTACCAAAAAGAAGAAAAAACTTAACAGAGAGACTTTCAATGTAGAGACATGCTGGCTTTCAGCAGTTCTTCCTTTCTGATGATTGGGCATAAAGGATGTTCTGACCCTCAGATCTGGCAATATTGCTCCTTATGAGAACAAACATTTTCCTTTGTAGGGTTGTTACCTTCTAAGTGTCCCCAGACTGTAAGTGTTAGTAGTTGCAGCTATACCGTAACATTTTAGTCTAGAAGTGCATCTAAACTCAAACAGGTCAAAGTTAGGGAAACCACACCTGGGTGGCAGCATCTTGGCAACAAGTTGTACATGAAGGATGAGGTTGGCAAAATCACTCCACTTGAGTCCTAGTCAGCTGTTGACAGAACTTGGCTCACCCAGAGCAGAGCTAGGCTAATTTGGGAAATACTGAAAAAAAGCTGTGAAGCATCAGTGTGACGGCCAAATACGGTTATTTTGATGTGCAGGTCTGGGATTTACCCATAAGATCACTCACCCTCTCTGGGTCCAAGTGAGCCTGAGCAAACTTGTAAAGACTGGCCACTTGGTTCCAGCCATCATACAGAGTTATTTTATAGTCCATTAAAAAGCCTGAGCTGGCCAGAAGCCCATCCACTACAGTGGTCAAATAGCCCCCACAGTGGGCACCATCACTGGGATTGAGCATGTCCACGTGAATGTCACCTCTCCATGGACCAGGATAGCCAAATGCAGACCAAACCCACACACCCCAGCAATGTAATACCCCACACAAGCTACCCGCAGCACATGGGGTAAGAAGGATTTTGCCCATCCATCAAGACACGGGTGTCAATCGGAAGGACAGCTTTCATTGATCCCCCTCCCACCCCAGCACCACCTCCCCAGAGCAGGGATTCAATCAGGGCCCAACAGACACCCAACTCTCTTGAGTGCAATTTTGGATCCAATAGCATCCGTCAGAGTTAAAATTAGAAATCTCTGGGCCAATACACTTGATCCTGTGGTCAATCTTGAGGGTACATGCTCAAAAGCATGGACTGGAACGGGCCCATTGTCGGGTACTATCTCATTAACATCAGGACAGGAAATTACATCAATCCTTCCATTTTCCACTGCAGCAAACAGCACTTGCGCTGAAGGGGTGTTGACACAGGTTAGAAATGCAGCATTGGAAAGTATGTGTTAGTATCCTGTTTAAAACCACATGTAAGTCGAGATGCTGATGTGAATCTCTACAGAGTGGAAAATTGCTCTGCCCTCACCCGCAGGCACACAAAAGCTTTAATAGGTGCTAACCATTATTAGCGGGGGTTGCGTGCATCCACTCACCCTCCCGATAAATGCCTAGCCTGAATCTGAGACTTGACTGACAAAGCAACTTTGCAATCTCTTTTTTCCATAGCACCCAGCAATAAAAGATTGCTGCCATTATTCATCGGGGCTTGTCACACACCAGGGACGTCCCCAGGGCTACTCCCTGCTCTAAGGAGCTAAACAGTGAAAGATGATCTGGGGAGAAAAAACCTCCCAAAAGAAAGTTTGGAGTTGGTTGAAGGTGACAGCACATGCCCAGGACAAGGGATTTGTCCAGGGACAAATCTCTATATCAGTCATATTTCTATGGATATCTGGGTCTTCTGCTCTGTTGCATCCCATAGGTATTAGAGGGGAACTGTATTGTGTCCTGGGTCCTGCACAGGGAAAGAACACACCAGTCTCAGCTTTATTGTGGAGGCATCTCCAGGGCTCTCCTCCCCACGCCAAAGCAGACCAGTGAGGGAGAACAGAGGAGGTGGCTGAAGAACATGTAGTTGTCCTAGGTCTGGACTTTGTCACTGTGACTGAGGGACAGATGAGCTTTTTGAGGTTTTTTTTTTCTTTTTTTAATTCACATATTTAATCTGGAACGTTTGTGATTAAAATCCCAACTAGAGGGGAGAGTCTTGTGGCAAAAAACGGGAATCCAGTGATGTGGCTTTAGGTTTGCTTCAACTTTCTGCATATCGCTACGGACACGACTCACAGCCGTAACTTCTGAGCAAAACAGGGAGTCATGTTTCTGTTCTGCTTGACGTGGCTGCTTAAAGCTTTTGGAGGCCGGGTGCACGCTGGTAGAGCTGCATGTATGCACACGTGCACGGGCAATATCTATTTATCTTTGTATGTGTCTGTCTACCTGATCATCTCCTTGATCTATCTGTCCATCCACAGAGCAGCCCTATATGCATGCTGTGCATGATTTTGTAAAGGTGGGTGAGACGCAGGCAGGCTTGTTGTCATGGGGAGGTGACTCGTGAAGACGGACGCTTCCTCCTCTCCTAGGTGGCCGAGGGAATGGCGTACATCGAGCGAATGAACTCCATCCACCGCGACTTGAGAGCCGCCAACATCCTCGTCTCAGAGACGCTCTGCTGCAAAATTGCTGATTTTGGCCTGGCCAGGATCATCGAGAACGAATACTTGGCACAAGAAGGTGGGTGCCGTTCCCAGCATTGCCTCACCAACACATTTCCCTTATCTCCATCCCTCCGGCCGTGCAGACGTGCCAAGGTGTGGCATGTCCAAGGGCTGGGTGGGGAGCAGGCACGGGGCACTACTGCCGATGGCGCGAGACCAGAGCCCCCATTGCTGCCCCTGTCAGCACCCAGCGGCAGGCAGAGCAAGCAAGAGAGCCAAAAATGGGGTCCCGGGAGAGGGAGCAGGGCTTTGGGACAATAAAGACTAAGTGAGGTTTAAAGGGGGAGACGGGGAAAAAAGTATTTTGGCGCTGGTTGTGTTACTGGAGAAATTTGGCCTCTAATAAGGAAACCTGCTGCCTGTGCCTACGTGTTCACAGCGAGTCTGTCCGAAGGGAAGGAAATAGCAGTGTAACCCAGTCACGGCTCACCGCGGGGCTGCAGAGGGCATCTGGAGCCACGAATCTGGACCTAAAGGCGGTTTCCAGATGTCCCAGGCAAACTGAGACCTTTGCATCTACCTTGAGCATCTAAAAAAGAACCAAAACAAAAAACCTCCTAAAAAACCAAAAAAAGGCATACAAAACCCAGTATCCCCCACGTTAATGTGAAATCTCCTTATGACTCCACCTGCGAAACCAAGCCCCTTGCTTAGGCTGAGTCTCTGAAATGGTGCAGGAGATCATGGCCAAGAGAGGTGACAACTGGTTTGGTTGGTACAGAAGTGCATCTACAGCCATTTGACAACAGGGTTAAGTCAAATTTCTCTGGTGGCAGCTTTTTCTCTGTACTTTGAGGTCAACTATAAGATTGTGTCATTCAGATTGCAAAGAGTCTTTACAGAGCACCAGGGAAACAAGCAGAAAGTATTGGAATAGAACAATTAAGTCTGGCAAAAGTGTCACTTACCAGAAGATTTTAAAATTTTGGAAATCCACCCTTTCTCTAGAGATGAGTTGAAGCTAAAATTCCCCGTAAAGAATACTCTGGGGAAAGGAAATCAAATAGATTTTTTTTTTTCTCTTCTAAGATAGGAAACTTTTCTTTCAATTTGCTGTTCCCAAAATACTTTATGATACAAATTATGCCCATTTCAACATGTAAAACTATTTCAAAGTAGTAAAAGCTCACAAATGTAATTTGTGAAATGTCATGAAAGGGTACTGTGAGATTGTTGCAGTTTTTTAAGGCAGTTTTTATCCTTAAAATAAGTTCTGATGAAATTAATGATATAATTGTGTTAACATACCCAAAAGAGCTACATTTCTGGTGAAAAACAGTTCCTATCAGCATTTTTCCAGCCAGCTTTCATCTGAGAGAACAACTGCCCTTCTGTCTACTTTGGATAATTTTTCACTTCACAGACCGCATTTCTGAGCCTCGTCAGTCCACTCGTCAGAAGGACGATGTGCAAGAGCAAAGGCACTTATTTCACACACTACCTTTGGGCTTTCAGTCCTGAAAGGATATATACAAACAAAAATGTTGTTTCCTCTGCAGTCGTTAACACTTTCTGTTCCTCCTTATCAAGGTGTTTGGGGTTTGGTTTTGGGTTTTCTTTTTGTGTTGGCTAAACTGAAACTCCAGTCTTCTGGTCATTGCTGCCAACAGCGTGCAAAACAAGAATTCAGTGGACAAAACAAATTGGGATTTTTTTTGTTTTGAATATACCTATGCAGCTTTAAGAACTGGATAATTTATATTCGCTGTACCATTTATGCACGTTTGCTAAAAGCAGCCCCCTTCCACTGATTGATTTTATAGAGAATAAAATCCTACCATTGTCATCCTCTGATAAAGCCACTCAAGGCATTGACTTTGAATCACAGAATCACAGAATCATTAAGGTTGGAAAAGACCTTTAAGATCATCAAGTCCAACAGAAACCTTGGTCTACAGGGACCCACTGTATTCCCTGTGGCAGGTTGCTAGCTGAAGAGCAATGGGTCTCTCACGAGAGCTCCTTGATCACAGAATCACTAGGTTGGAAAGGACTTTCAAGATCATCAAGTCCAACCATTAATCCAGCGCCACCATGTCCCCTAGACCATGTCCTGAAGCACCACATCCACACGTTTTTTGAACACTTCCAGAGATGGTGACTCCACCACCTCCCTGGGCAGCCTGTTCCAATGCCTGACCACTCTCTCAGTGAAGAAATTTTTCCTAATATCCAATCTAATATCTCAACCTTGATGCCCAAGGGCTGTGGCAGGCACATGCACGGTGCTGGTCCGTGCTACTGTTCCTGGCTCCATTCCTGAGATCCCATTGCTAAACACACAAGAGGTGCAAAGGTGTTATAAAACTGTAGATTCCTCTAACTTCATCAGTAGAATAGTTTACGTAGCTTTTTTTTAATAAGCATATCATCAGTTAATTAAGGCATTAAGTTTTTTCATTATTTGGCTTCCTTGTATCCGTATCTATGGATGCTTATAAGCATATACATATGAAAAAATCTTTTAAGACAAAATAGCCTTGATTGCATTGGAAGAAGAACCAACAAAGGCAAAGACATGCCAGGTAGAAATGACCTTTTTATAAAAGCAGGAGAAAAACAGCAATTACTTTCTTCTGCCCTTATCTCCATAACTCCACAGTACCATCAGTAAGTCCCATCGCAGCCCCCGACGCAGTCAACAACCCGCAGGACCCAGGGCTCGGTTTTGGGGAACTCCTTACCCATGCCTGTGGGAGCAGAGGGAGATGCCGTACCTCTACGTGCTATTTCCCTTTGCTTCCTCTGGACAGGTGCCAAATTCCCAATCAAATGGACAGCGCCGGAGGCCATTAACTTTGGAGTTTTCACCATCAAATCTGACGTGTGGTCTTTCGGGATCCTCCTGACAGAAATCGTAACCTACGGCAGGATCCCTTACCCAGGTACAGCGTGCTGCGAATACGGGTGAGCGTGCACCAGTTTCAAAGCATCTAGTACTGCTTTATGCTTGGAGACACGTACCCACGTGTGTACACGTGTGCCCAGACACACCCCCCCATCTCTCCATGCTGGGTTTCCTCTCCTAGGTTCCCACGAGCCTCAGTTGTACCTGTGTTAGGAGAAACCTGTAGAGGGGAGTCAGGGAGCGGGTGGAGGGAAGGAGTGGAGAGAGCAACCCTGAAGAAAGGATGATGCCCAGATACGGCCCAGCATCACGGTCCCTCATGCCCCTCCAGCCCTGCCTGGCTGTGAGCTATGGGGAGCACTAAGCTTCACCCCCAGGGTGCCGAATAACTCCTGTTGGGCTGTGTTTCCCTCCAGGGATGACCAACCCCGAGGTGATTCGCAACCTGGAGCGGGGCTACCGCATGCCTTGCCCAGACATGTGCCCTGGTGAACTCTACAACATCATCCTGAAATGCTGGCGAAACAAGCCCGAGGAGCGCCCGACCTTCGAGTACCTGCAGTCGGTCCTTGAGGACTTCTACACTGCCACGGAGAAGCAGTACGAGCCAGAGCCTCAGCAGTAAGCCATGGTCCCACCAGTGCCTGGGGACAGGTCTAGAGCAAAGCCATGGTCCTGCACAGCCTGGTGATGGCTCACTTCAGGCCTTTCCCTTCCTCCTGCGTACCACCACGATGCACTCGGAGACAGAGGACAAGGAGGGACATGAGGGAGGTGGATGCTGCCAGCTCTGTGGTTATCGTGGAGGCTAAAGAGATGCCTGAGAGCTGGCACAGCTCCTTCCCCACCCACCTTGGAGGTCTGTACCCACGTCACAGATATCGCCTCTGCCACGAAGGACAGCAGACTCCTTCATGACCCACCCAGAGAAGGAAAAGCCCCTCAGCCCTGCAACCGCAGCCCCAAGAAGAGGGCACCATGGTCAGGCTGGTGGTATGGGGGGTGGACAATCTCTCCCCCCCTTCCGATGCCACTGCTGGCAATACTGCAACGCCCTTCGTGCCACGGGCAGGGGTGGGAACGTGTCCTGTCTGCACCTCCTTGGGCCACGCCAGGCCCCCAAGCTCTGGGGCAATCTCTCCAGGTGATGCCACCCCTCTGCCCCAAGTCAATAATAAAATACTGGGTTCGACCATTTCACGTGTCTTTATTCGGGCCTCAGGGCGAGAACTGGCCCCTCTGCTTCCCTTGCCCACTCCCAGCCCACGGAGGAGGAGGGAAGAGGCCGCGGGGCTCCCCGGGCAGCTCGGGGCGATGCTGGGGGGGTACCCGGGGGTGCGCACAACCGATCGCGGGTCCAGGCGGTCCTGGGGCCTGGAGGCAGGAGAGATGTTCGCGGTGTGGCCACGAGATGTCCCTCCTTCCCCGCAAATCCCCTGGCTCCTGTCATCCAGCTGGTGTGGGGGGATTGAAAATACATATACTAAAATATCACAAGAATAAAAAACACCCTCCCCGCTTTGCTAAGCCCTTCACTGCACAAGCTCTTGGTGCAGCATCGGTGCACCACGCCAGCCCCACGGCAGGTCCCGCTCCATGCCCAGCACCAGGAATGTTCAGATGCCCTTTCCCTGCTCTCTGGTGCATCTCTGACCCACAGCTCCGGTGAGAAGGTCCACATTAGGCTGCAGGCTGGTCTCTGATCAGCAGTTGCACGGGCTTGGGGAGTGGTGGATGGAGAAGTAAGGCACAGATGGTAGAGGTGAAGGGGTGTTAGGACCACAGGAGTGAGCACCAGGCTGGGACCCAAGTGGACTCCCCTTCGGATTATGACACTGAGCAGCATCTCTCTCCAGGGTCTGCTGTTTTCTACACCATGAAGCAGATGTCTTCTGTAGAGGGTGCTTTTCCTAGTGTAACAAGGATGCTACAAGAAAGAAACAGCAGACATGACCCCCCCGTGTGCCAGAAAAAACACCTGACCATCACCAACATGTGACACTGAGTTACCTGGGCACATCACTGCTGCAAGAGAGCCTAGAAGGAAAAAGGATGGGAAGATTCAGAACAAATCCGTAGGGACAACTGGGCTGTTGGCAGCTACATTCAGTCCAAGGCCTTGATCTTCAGTGCCATAAGGCACCTGTCCATTGCTTGGGGTGAGACAAAATCCTGCACCATGATGCCAGCGTCACTTCCCAGGTGTTTCTGACGGGGCAACATCACTTGTGTCAACGTGAACAGCACTTTGCCTGACTTCAAATGCTGCTCGTCCCTCCTTTGCAGATCCACAACGAGAAAAAGAGCACACAGGGACTGGTTTAGCATTCACAGGAGGCCAAAGTCTCTGGAGATTGGATGGGTTGCACAGCTTGGCAATGTCATTCCCTGCATTCTCAGGAGGCAAAGGGGTGAAATAGCAGAAAGCAGGTGTCCCAGACCAGGATGAAGGGAACTGGGTGAGATGATACACCCTCAGAAATCCTAGACCTAGTGGAGACATCCTAGACATCCTAGTGGAGACTAGGATGTTTTCACAGGGCTGCTGGGTAGGGTCCTATGGGACACCTGCACCCCTCTAGGACAGCTGGAGCTGGATGGAAAACCTTAGGGTGCGGAAAAGAGCATTACACACCTGTGTTCAGGAGGTAGGATTTTACCCCCACAAAATGTCCAAACCTGGATGTGAATCAATCCCTGGTGTCTGAGAGCTCTTTTCTTATCCCACCCATAACACATCTGATCTGCAACTGTTTTCCACAGCAGCTTCACTCCTTGTGGAAGAAGATGAAGTTTCTTCCCAAACGTTTCTGTGAGCCATCAGAAGTCATCTTCCAATTCAGCATGAACAGCTGGGGAGCAGCCATGTGGCCAGGGCTTGGGCATGGTTACGCAGATCTCTTCACCAAATCACCAGCAAACCTTGTCCACCCATCTCCATCTACACAACCTGGTTCCTGGGCTCCCTGAGCCCAGTGCTAGTAGGACCTAGTGCTAAATTTAAGATGAATCAGGGTTGGTCCAGTTGTTTCACAGCTCCAAGGAATAAGTGGTACATGCTATAACTATACAAAACTTGTTTTAAACAAGAAGCAATTATTAGCCATTTATTCAATAATTTCACTGGAGTTGAAGAAACAGCCTTTCTCCCTGCTTGAACTCCAGCTTGGTCTTTCACATTTACCAGGAACTCCATGCAGGACTAGCAGATTTCTATTAATGAGATGACATACTGCAAACAAATACAAATGAAAGATATACGACGCCTTGGCTGCAAATATTTTATTGACTTGAAAACTGTGGATCATTTGTGCTGGACCAAACCAGAAAGAAGAGTTACAGGGTGTCTGCTAAACACTTGTGCATTTTGTTATCGCCCAAGGCCAAAGAGTCAAGTATTGTAGCTCAATTTAGAAAGGAAATGGATATTTTTATGGCCAATAGCAATGCGTAGCCAAGCCCAGAGTGAACACAACAAAGAGCTGTGCTTCCTCTGCACTGGACACCACAGCTTTTTTTGTTAATGCTGCACAAACAATTGTTGAGTTTCGTTCCCTGCCATGCCTGTGATAAATGGATGGGGCAGACAGTCACCTGGCTGCATAGTCATGTCTGCTTCCACCACAAAGCCATTGCAGAAGCCCCTGGCAACACTTCCTTTGCTTAGGGGAGCGGGGCTGGGGGCTGTGCCACCAACTTGGGTCTCTCTAGGGGGTGGAGGGAGACTGTGAGCCCCATGAGCAGCCATGGTTTTATGCAACAGCCACCAAAACCACTGGGAAATGGACTCCACAACTCCACCACAGCAGACATCAGTCAGTTGGAAAGAAAAGGACCTGCATTCCAGTCCACATCATGGACATGTCTATCAGGGACCTCAGTCAAAAACCCAGGTGAGAAGTGGGATGCTGTGTCCTGTGACCTCCAGTCCAGGAGGCAACTGTACTCCAGGGGACCAGGATGTCTCCAACAGCCCCAGCAATCTCTGCAAGAACCCCTTCAACCCACCCATACCTACCTGGCAGCATAAGAGGTGTCTCTTCATCATGGGTGAACTCCACTGAGAGGCTCACAGGTGGGTCTCAGAGCAGGAGAAAAGTGGTAAAAGTGACCCAGGCTCTCACACTCAGTTTGTGATTCTTGACTGATCTGCAGCAAGGACCCTATCACTCGCACAAATAGTTCAGTTACAAGAACCCTGTGAAGCTACCCAAGAAGATCATGTTGTTTATTTTGCACAGGCATTGTGCTGTGCAAGGTGTTTTACAAGATAAGACGCAATTCCTGCCGAAGACAGAGTACGAACTCTCTGAATAGCCAAGGCAAGAATTAAAAGAGGTACTTAAAGATACGTATCTTGCATGACAACCAAGAGAGTCCTTTCATTTCTTCCCCAGATGCCAGGTGGTCTTTCCAAAGACCACTGGAATGGTCTTTCCAAGTCTCATACAGAAAGCCAGACTCCACTATTGTTCTTTGCTACTGCTTTCCCTATGCAGCCTTGGTCCTGTTACTTCAACCCCATCCTCTGGGATTTCTGGTTCCACATCCATCTGTGCAGAAAATGCCTGGTCTTCTGTTGGTGTTGAGTTCATCTGCATTAATACCCTCTTTGCAAGTGGTTTGAGGTGCTGGAGGGAAGGTTTCTCTGGTGTTTCTCAGCTCTCCACCTAGCAGATGTGGAAATATCCCTATGGCTGCAGTGTAAAACCTTCTGCAGGCAATAGCTGTGCACTGTGACATGGAAAAATCAGCAGATGCTCAGAGAGAGGTGGAAGTAAGAAGGAGAGCAAAGGAAAACCAGTGAGAGGGCAGGGCTGTGGGGAGCAGCAGCTCTGAGCAAATCAGGTGGCTTCTCTGATGTCTAGTAAAGGGTGAGCTCCAGCTGAGGAGCATTCAGAGCAATGTCGATTTTCTCATGTCTAATGAAAGATTAAGCATACCATACACTATAGGCTCTCTTGAATGCCTTTGGGAAGCTGGGTTAAAATCAGAGGAGGGCAAGAAGGAGGTAATGGAAATGGAAGAGCAGAGAAGGGAGAAGGAAGAGGAGGGAGCACATGACCCTACCCATGGGATAAAGACCTGGGTCTTTTCAAGGAAGGCTCCTCTACCCTCTTCTTTTCCCCTTTTTCTTTGTTTTTCTTTTTAACACCCTGATCTGCCTAACTCTGACTCACACTGCAACAATGTGTGTGCAGGATTGAGCCAGAGCAGGGGTAAAGAAGAAAAGTCCATTACATTTCCATATCTCTGGCTAATGGGGCAGCTGGTACTCTTTTTGGGAAGGAGGTTGCCCAGCAGAGAGAGGTCTGCATCTACTTTCGCAGGCTGCAGCTGGACCCTGGAGGTCTGAGGTGGGCTTGGTCAAGTGGTATAAAGCAAAAGCAAAGCAGCAACGTATCACAATCATGTCTTGGGAAACGAGCTTTTTTCAATGTCATCCCACGCTATGCTCTTGTTTGGTCCTGAGCAGAACAGAATTGGCAGCCCCAGCCTCTCGACCAGTGCATGCCAGTATGTACCAGGAGCTCAGGACCTCTCCCAGGCTGACAAAGAGCCTGGCACCCTGAGGATCCGAGTGTCCCCACCCGCTGCTCGCGGGGCAGGGTGCCTGGAGCTTGCTACGCTGTCACCAAAAAGCAAGGCAGGGCCAGCAGGGAAGGGAGGTGGTGGGGAGCCCTCACCTTGCT